CCAAGCCCCAGCGGCCGCGGATCCCACGCGGAGCCCCCGGCTAGGACACCCGCCGCCAGGGAGGTGCTGCCTTCTGCTTTCCTTTATTTCAGATATCGGGCGTTTTCTTTTGAGAGGTTGGGTTTTTTGGTTTGGGTGGTTTTTTTTTAATTGTTCTCCTTTGAAATGACTCTGTGATCGCAGGTGTAAGTGCAGGCTTTTCTAGACACGGGCATGGCAGGGATTAGATGGGTAACTTCGCTACACCAGCTTGAACTTCACACTCTTCCTAGGGAATGAGAAGGAAATATTCTCTCTTTCCAAAGAGACCAGAATCGTGGGCAGTGGATTTTAAAGCTGTGGCTATTTTCACCTTAGGAAAGCTACTTTCAGCTGCTTTTTGTTTACACATCCTCGTTTCCTCTCTTCCCTCGCCTCTCCCCCAGTTCTTTACAGAAGTACCAGGATACCTGGGCTCAAGCAACACAGAGATACAAATCCCAGTAAAAAAGGACTAAGCTTCCAGACAATTCTTAACAGCCCTAAGCCTCCTCTGCTTTTACAGTGTACACAGACTCAACGCCAGTATGCTTTGCAAAAATACAGCTTCTAGACACTCGTTTAGGGTGAGTAACTCACAAATGATTCATGCCAATAAAACTCTTGTAACATCTCTGTCTACTTCACGGATGTGTGTACGACATGAATATGCATACAACATGATTACAGTTCAGGCTGAATAAGTAAAGGTTTTAATCTGGCCTCCATATATAAGTAAATTTCAAGATAACTCTCTCATTTCAAGGCTGAAAGGGATTTAAGGTTTATAATACTTGCCTCTAAGGCAGACTCCTAAAGCTGCATGTGAAGGAAAGTAGGTTTTTCACTGGAGAACTTCCTTCATCTTTCTCTATCAACCTAAATTAGACCTTTTAATTTATCTGACTATGCTATTTTAAAGCTCTATTTTCTTAACTAGAGCATTATAATTCTTTAGATATTTCCAGTGGAGCTTGCATCCTCTGAGCCTTGTTAAGCATGACTGGGACTGATTGCTCTAAAACCTACTGCCAAAGAAACATATTTGATCATGTACCATGATGGGTATCTTTTCTACCCTCCAGAAAACTCTTTTATGCATATTTATGGCATAGTTCTATTTAAAAAAAAAAAAAAAGAGTAATCTATAAAACTGTCAGGGACTTTGTTATCAATCCATAAAGCAGGATGATATGTCATGCACACTTATCGGATGCCTAGCCATGCTATCTGTATTTTCTCAGTATGTCACCTTAGATGTGTCTTTCACAGGAATCCAGAAAATTGCCAGGCCTAGAATACCTAATTTTATCATGAAAGCTCATATGTTTTTCTGGCAATATAGAAAAGAATGAACTCTTCCTTCTCAAAAGCAAACAATCCTACCAACTCAGCTCTCTCGCTCTCTCTCTCTCACACACACACACACACTCACAGAAAAGCAGGTTTATCACTGTCTCACAGTTATCTTTCACCAGGCCTGATGCCGTACTGAGATGGCTCGGGGAAGCTGTTACGGACCTGTGGGCTGGCGAACTCTGTGCGTGTTTGCATCAGTGTTATGAATGTGTCGCTGGTCTTCATCCTTTCCCTGCCTTCCCGCCTCTGTCTTGTACTAAATGCTGGTGAGCTAGCACCTAGGAGGAGCTGCCTTGCCAGAGGGAGATTATCTTTTCAGGGAAGCCACTCAGCTGTATCTGTGGCCATCTGATAACGGCTATTTAGGGGATCACCCAGCAGAACAGAAGTTATTACAGCTCAAGCACCAGGAGCTATATGTCTTGTCAGATATTTTGAGCAGCTCCATCTGAGACACGGTACCTGCAACAGAGGCAGGAAAACTCCACTTTTTTCCTCAATTAGATCCCGACAGACTCAGAGACAGAGCGGGCTAAGGGTGTTTCATTTACAAAGTTGTTTTTCTTTTATTAAACTGCCCCCGCTTGTGCCCCCGCTTCTTTAACTAAAAGCAGCAGTATGTTTAGGAAATGTGGAAAACTGGCAAAACATGGTGGAACACTGTGGAAAAACATACATACCTGCATGTTTTCTCAGCTCTCACAGAGAATAAAGCCGTAATCCATAAAGTTTATTCATTCAAGGGGATTCTAGGAAAGAGGCACAAACTACAGAAAACTTTGAGAGTAGCAACCAAGGACAGTACCTGGACTGTTACTCTCTCAAGAGACATACCACAGAGAGCCTGAAACCCAAAATTTGACTCTAAAATCCCAAGACAGAAGGGAAATGCTTAGACCTGATTGAGAG